TAATTATTTATAAAGTATGATATATAATGAAAACTATAAAATACTGGTGAAAGAAATCAAAGGAATTATGTAAAGGCATACTGTATTCATGGATTGGAAAGATCCATATTGTTAAAGTATCTCTAATTCTCAAAACGATCTACAGATTTAATGCATTCTCTATCAAAATATCACAAAAAAATCTTAAAATTCTGCTGGAACTACAAATAAACCTCAAGTATTCAACCAATCTTGAGCAAAAAGGAAAAGCAGGAAGTATTATTCTACTTCACTTCAAAATATTTGAAGCTATAGTAATCAAAATCAAGGCATTGTCATAAACAGACACAAAAAACATGAAACAAAATAGAGAACCTAGAAATAAAAACACACTTCTCTAGTCACCTGATATTTGACAGAGGTATTAAAACATACATGTTGTGGAAAGGAAAAAACTTGTTTCGGATTAGTGGTGCTAAGAAAATTGGATATTCTAAACAGAATAAATGTAGATGCCTATGTCTCAATGTGTCTTACTGGAGCTTTCTCATTACTGAGAAAAAATACCCCACAAGCCTAACTTAAAAGAGAGGCTTATTTTGGCTTATGGTTTCAGAAGCTTCAGTCCATGGTTGTCAGGCTCAAGTGCAGAAAAGGCCTGGTAGAAGGGTGTGCCTCGGGGAAAAGCACTTTCAACAAGGCACCTAGCAGAGATCAAGAGGAGGACCTAGAGTAGGGGACACACCCTGACAGGCCCTGCCCCAAGAGACCTTGCTATTCTAAACAGGCTCTACCAATAATTAACAGCACACTCTCTATGAGCTCATCAGTGGATTAATCCCCTCACCCTCCATCCACATGTCTCTCTGGGAGAGCATCCCAGATTTAAACGGAGGAAACTCTCTCATTTTGACAACATGGATAGAATCAGAAATCATTATGATAAGTGAAATAAACCAGTCTTAAAAAACCCATCAATCCTTTATGGAAGCTAACAAAGATGATTTAATAGAAGCTGAGAGTAGAATGGTAACACATGGAGGCTGGGGAGAGAAGCAGGAAGGGAAGACTAGAAAAGGTTGGCCAACAGGCACTATGGTTGAAGTAAGAGGCTCTGGTGTACTCACATAGCTGAGTGCCTACAGATGACAGTTATGCATTATGTATTTCAAGAAGCTAGACAAAACATTGAATGTTCTCACCATAAAAATTGATTACTGTTTGGAAAAATAGATATACTTAACCTGATTTAAAAATTACAGAAAGTATACATCTATGGAAACATCACATAATAGCCTATTAACATATCTAATTTTTATGTTTTTACTTATCAGTCAAAATGAAAAGAATT